AGCTCTCAGCACACTGCCACAAGCCAACTGTCCAATCCTATTTGCTGCTCGTTTCTCATCAGCCCTTCCTATCAGCTCCTGTGGTTCCTCAAAAGAGAAAGGTCTCTTTCCTTATGAGTGGGAAGCCATCACCTAACATAGAAGCTGGACCACGGTGGTGTGCCAAGAGAATGAAGCAAGTGTCTGCTTCTTCTTTCCCCAACTTTATACAGACAGCCTCAACTGAGCCAGTGTGAGGTTGAGTGTGATAGTGGAAAAGCCTTCAGCCTCTCTGGGCAATACTTGCCTACTTGCAATGCTCCAGAACAGACCCCAGTGACAACTCCACATAGCCTTTACTGGAAATACCTGAGGGACTATATCTGGAAAATCTTCTGGTTTAGCTCTTTCCTTCTGAGGCGCTGGTAGGGCAGGTGGGACTTCTGGCTTCACCTTCTGTTCTTCTGCAGGTCTGCCACTCAGCGCTGTGGGAGAAAAATCTTTCACCTTAAGGCCCAGATGCCTAAACAGGTGTTATTTGTTTAGGTCAGTGAGATCTCCTAGAAGCTACTGAATTCAAGAAAGTCCAGAGGAATCAAATTAGATACAGGCTGAATCAATTCTTTTTTCAAGCACCTGGCAGTATGTGTCCTTAAGCACAACATGCAAACCCCCAAAACTATCAACCTAATAGTGTCTATTTTGGAAAGAACAACATGGTGGTAAGCAGCCTGATCGGAGCAATTTGCAGCACTGTTTGGGTCTCCAGAAACGGCAACCCTAGAGAAGCCCGGAGGGATCCTCACCACCCTCTTAGGAAATCTGCTGGTCTTTGGCAAACACATTGTATCAAGCGGTAGGGACACTTATGTGAATAGTGTTGATGCTTTTGACTGATATTCTCTGAAAGAGAGGCAGCACTGTTGGCACCAAATACCTAGAGAGCAGCCTTCAGAGTCTGCTGCACAACCAGGTGGTCATACTGACCTCCGAATTTCCCCCTTAGATGCATTTCTTGTGCATCTGTCACCGCATATGCCTCCTGGTACTGTTTCAACTGGATGGCAAGAATGTATCTTACTCCAGCCTGCGCCCCCACTACCCTAATACCGCTAGTATTTCTAGTACCTTTCCACTGGTCAGCCGCCTGGAGATAGGTTTCTCATCAGCCCTTCCTATCAGCTCCTGTGGTTCCTCCAAAGAGAAAGGTCTCTTTCCTTATGAGTAGGAAGCCATCACCTAACATAGAAGCTGGACCACGGTGGTGTGCCAAGAGAATGAAGCAAGTGTCTGCTTCTTCTTTCCCCAACTTTATACAGACAGCCTCAACTGAGCCAGTGTGAGGTTGAGTGTGATAGTGGAAAAGCCTTCAGCCTCTCTGGGCAATACTTGCCTACTTGCAATGCTCCAGAACAGACCCCAGTGACAACTCCACATAGCCTTTACTGGAAATACCTGAGGGACTATATCTGGAAAATCTTCTGGTTTAGCTCTTTCCTTCTGAGGCGCTGGTAGGGCAGGTGGGACTTCTGGCTTCACCTTCTGTTCTTCTGCAGGTCTGCCACTCAGCGCTGTGGGAGAAAAATCTTTCACCTTAAGGCCCAGATGCCTAAACAGGTGTTATTTGTTTAGGTCAGTGAGATCTCCTAGAAGCTACTGAATTCAAGAAAGTCCAGAGGAATCAAATTAGATACAGGCTGAATCAATTCTTTTTTCAAGCACCTGGCAGTATGTGTCCTTAAGCACAACATGCAAACCCCCAAAACTATCAACCTAATAGTGTCTATTTTGGAAAGAACAACATGGTGGTAAGCAGCCTGATCGGAGCAATTTGCAGCACTGTTTGGGTCTCCAGAAACGGCAACCCTAGAGAAGCCCGGAGGGATCCTCACCACCCTCTTAGGAAATCTGCTGGTCTTTGGCAAACACATTGTATCAAGCGGTAGGGACACTTATGTGAATAGTGTTGATGCTTTTGACTGATATTCTCTGAAAGAGAGGCAGCACTGTTGGCACCAAATACCTAGAGAGCAGCCTTCAGAGTCTGCTGCACAACCAGGTGGTCATACTGACCTCCGAATTTCCCCCTTAGATGCATTTCTTGTGCATCTGTCACCGCATATGCCTCCTGGTACTGTTTCAACTGGATGGCAAGAATGTATCTTACTCCAGCCTGCGCCCCCACTACCCTAATACCGCTAGTATTTCTAGTACCTTTCCACTGGTCAGCCGCCTGGAGATAAGACAGGAATCCACAGAGAATCAGAAAGCCCAGGAGGAAGAGAATAACATTCCGCTGTAACCTTGAAAGTTGCTTCCATTTCTGAGGAAGAGCCAGAAATGACACTTGTCACAGATTCGGAGGAGAGCAATTCACAGAGACCCTGAGGTATGTCTTCACCCAAGGTAAGCTCCCTGTCAACAAAGTTTACATTGCTGGGGCAGCACCAGAGGTGAAAGAGCACACTAGCTCGTACGTGGCAAGAGAACCGTGCACCATCTGTCCAGCTGCACGTGCAACTGAGAAAAACTGAACTCCCCATGACCTGGCTCAGGCGTCGACCGAACCCTGACTCTGACCATACATGCTGTGCCCGTGCCCCTCAGCCAAGGACCACCAGGAACACCTGGCTTCAGTTAGGGGAACCAACAACACCGGAACACAAGCCGCGAGAGCCAGACGCGGCAGAGGACCTTCTAGAAGCTGGAAGAGACCAGGACACCGGGTCCAGGCTCCGGCTGGCCACTACCCCGGGCAGGACGTCCCCGGCCCGGACCCCGCCTCACCCTCCAGCATGAGCGCCGCCGCCGGCTCTTGCTGTTGTCGTAGCTCTCGCCCAGGCTCAGCGTCACCGAGATGAAGTCCCGGTGAGGCGCCGGCGGCGGCGGTGGGTACATGACTGCGAAACCGGCCCAAGAGACCTCGCTTGCTGGAGGCGTCAGGAAGCCCAAGACTGAGAAAGATCGCGGGCTGCCATAGCGAAGGCGTCCACACCCCGCCCATCGCCCTAGACACCAGCGCGCACGCGCCCGTCTTGGCGGTCATTGCGCAAGCGCACAATCCGCGTTAATCACCGCGCATGCGTACAGTGTCGTGTCGCGATTCCCTAGTGAATCGCTGGCGTCAGGATGCCCGCCCCTCCACCGTTTGACGTAATTTCATCGCGTCCTTACGTCACTGCTTTGCGTCCACCTGTGCTTCCGTAGGCGCCCTGCAGAGTCCCTGATGGGGGTGGGCCGGCCGCCGCGTGGTGGTGTGGTCCTTGTCGCGCTTCTGCCTCCCTTGAGATGCAGACGTCCGGTCCTGAGGGACCTCCGCGCTCGGTCTCGGAGAGCTAGGCCCCGCGTCCACCTACCGCGCCTGGAGGGGAAACGCAGAACTGGCGACCGAGGGAAGGGGCGGCCCTGCTGAGGCTGAGGCCTGGCCTGGCTCCGCGTCCTGAGGCGGCGGCCTTTTCTTTCTCGTCGCTGCGGTCTGGGAGCTACCTTTTCTCCGATCATTCCACTCCGAGCCCCCACGGACTTGGAGAACTGTGTACAACGACTGCGCTTTGCCGGGCGCGTGGTTCCCTCGAGGAAAACACCCAAAACGGCAAAACTGCCCACTGTCCGGGAGCCGAAACTACTGCCTCCCAACAGCTTAGCTGTGACATCTCTGGGTGTGTGGAGGGTTCCTTGCTCAGTGAACATACTTGATTTACAGAAGACCCTACTGTGCCCCTTTCCCCTACTTTAGTTCCTCTCTGGTTTCGATACTTGGACGACTGCGTATCTTCTAAAATTAAGTGGAATTCTGGAGCCAGGTCTGCTTATTCCCAAGTGCTGCTAGTTAGAGCTCAAAGTTAAAGAGTTAATTCAGAGAGAAAATAGAGTTTCTGGAACTCACTCTGTAGACCAGACTGGCAACGAACTCAGAGAGATCCGCCTGCTTCTGCCTCCTTAGTGCTGGGATTAAGATGAATAAAACACTTCTGTAGCTAAAAATCTTCTAGTTCAAGTCAGGCAAAAATGAATGATAATCTCCTGTGGAACAAATCCTTGTCCAGGTTCAGAATCTAGCATCAATTAAGGATTTGGAGTTGAGAGAGGAAAACCAAGTCAGCGACAGAGCGTAAAGATAAGGTAACCCCAGCCTGATACCAGCAGCAAAGTGACACTGACACTCTTGTATGTGTCCATATATGGAATCTTACCACCGCAGAGGGTGAGAAAGGAGGAGTGCTACAATTTTAAGGCTAGCCTTGGATTATGTAGTAAGTTCCAAGCCAGCCTGGGCCACAGAATGAAACTGTCTTTTTTTTTTTTTTTTTTTTTTTTTTTTTTATGTGCATTAGTGTTTTGCCTGTGTTGTAGGTCTGTGTGAGGGTGTCAGCTCCCTGGTGAGCTACTGTCTGGTGGCCGTGGAAGAGCAGCCAGTGCTCTTAACCACTGAGCCTTCTCTCCATTCTCTGACCTTTCTTTGTCCTGTCCTTCCTTTCCTCCTTTCTTTCAAGATACGTTACAGTGTGTAGCTTGGTCTTCTTGTGGGATTCCTCACAGTGGAAGCAGGGGCTGTCTGACTCTTTTGCAGGCTTTTGGGACCCTCTTCCTCATAACTGAATTGCCTAATCTTACTGAAATTTGATATGCCATGTTTTGTTAATACCCATGGGGAGCCTGCCCTTTTCTGAGTAGAAATGGAGGAGGAGTGGATGGGATGGGGCAGAGGGGAGGTTGGGGGAGGGACTGGGAGGAGAGAAGAAAGAGGAAACTGGGGGGTTGCAGGACAGCCAGGGCCCTTTCTCAAAAACAAAGCAAACAAACCCATACACACCAAAACTATAAGATAAAAACCTTACAGAACTTTTAATGAGAAACAGACATATCAAAACCAGTATTTAGAGCCAGATTTAGTGAAGATCTGTGCCTGTATCCTTGACACTTGGGAGGTAGAGGTAGAGGACGGGGAATTCAAGCTCTATTGAGAAACACACACACACACACACACACACACACACACACACACACTAAGCAGTTTGTCAGAGCACCCTGGCTTAGTAGTAGAGAAAGCAGAGAGGAAAGGGAAGGGCTAGGGCTAGGAGGGAGAAAGATGAGAGAGAGAGGGAGAGACCAGTCCAGTGCTGGCAATCAGTTGACTCTATCACACAGTACTCAACAACAGGAAGCTATACCTTTTTTTTTTTATACCTTTAAGTGCACAGACATTCATCATAGGACATATGTAAGACCTAAGAGAAGTCCAGATAAATTTGAAAAGATTTAAATTACACAACATACTTTTAGCCACAGTAGAACTAAAAAAAACAAAAGAAAGAAATCAATAAATACTTGAGAAGTTTAAATGAATACCATTCTAAGTAAATGAGAGATAAATCACTAAATTAGAAAATAATTTTGAATCAAATAACAAGAGTTAGGAGGTTGATTGAAAGCATGTACTCATTCATGTAGAGGACCAGGGTTTGGTTCCCACACCTTGTACCTTACAACTACCTATAACTCTAGTCCCCAGATACCTCATGTCTCTGTCCTCTGTGAGAACCTTCACTCACAGCACACTCACACACAGAGACACATATAATTAAAATATATGTTAAAATTTAAGATGCAGTGAGGACTATTTTAGAGGGGGAAATTTTGACTACAAACTTTCAGTGGAAGAGATGGAAAGTCTTAAATGTTTCCATATTCCAAACTTGGGGTGGGGCTATAATTTCAGTGCTTAGGAGACTGACATAGAAGGATTTCAAGTTCAAAGTCAACAGAATGAGACCCTATTGAGGATGGAAGCTGTGGGGATGTGGGGGGGAGGGAGGAAAAAAGAAAAGGAGAGCTGGAAGGGAGAGAGAAAATACATTATAAGAGACTAGAACAAAGTATACTCATGCATCAGGAAACTTGGGTGAACTAGGGAAATTCCTAAAAAGATACCAGTTGCCAAAACCAATTCAAGAAGTGGGAAATGTAGAAATACCTATAGAAAGAGTGATTTAAAATCTGTCAGGAATAATGGCACACCCCTACGATCCCAACACTGCAGGCTAAGGCACGGGGATCTTGAGTTCAAGTTCAGACTTGGTGGTTGAGACAGGAGAATCACTGTGAGCTTGGGGCTAGTCTAAACTACACAGTGAGTTCAAGGCCAGCCTGGAGTACATAGTGAAGTCTTTTCTCAAACAAAAACAACCACTGCCAATAAAAAGACCCTCATCCTATACATCTCCCTTCATAAGGTCAAGCCAGCATTCTTCCAGCTACTTGGACCTATAAACTTTGGAGTTATTCTTGGGTCCTCATCTTTACATTCCACACTAGAAAGAAATGCTTCAAATACAAAGAATATGGTCAAGCCTTTAGTCTAAGCTTGGTCCTTCCCCTAGAAATGGAAAACATGTCCAATCCTCTAATAGCTACCCAAGCCTTACCAAACACCAAAGAATGCATATGTGATGAAAACTCTACATTAGGAAAGTATGTGGCAAAGTCCAGTTACTGGAGACCAAACGGTCCATTCAGAAAGTCGACATGTGTGGTGGTTTGAATGAGGAGTGTCTGGCAGACTCAAGTATTTTTAACAATTGGTCTCCACCTGGTGGTGCTGTTTGGGTGATATTGTGGAAACTTCAGAAGGTAGTCTTGCTGGAGGAAGTATGTTACTGGGAGTGGACTTTGAGAGTTCATAGCCTTACCCACTTCCATTTTGTTCTCTGCTTCCGGCTCTGGCTTTCTGCTGCCATACCTCACCACCACTGCCAGGCAATAGTGTTTTATCTAAGTAACAAAAAGTAATGCTTGAGCCTGTTGTGCCCAAATTCTGAACCCCAAAATCACCAAGAGGCCCATTTCAATGTTAAAGCAATGAGTCTTTTATTGCAGTTGTTTAACGAGTTAATCCCATTAGCTCGGGCCTTTCATCCATCCACCAAGGCAGATGGCTGGGGAAAGACCCCGAGAAACCACAGGACAGCATAAGGGGAGTGTCTAGGGGTACTCACATGTAGGAAGCCGAATTAATAAAAAAAAGGGGGGATAATGCAGGAACCGGCTTCCTACACTCACAGGCTCAGGAATTGTGTGCTTCCAGGCTTGGAGGACTTGCCCTGTGTTGATTGGTCAACTGGTTGTTATGGCCCATAGGCTGCCAAAATGGGGAGCTGGTCCCTTCAAGCCATGATCTATAACAGTTATTTACACTGGATTCAGCATGAGAGAATTCATCCTGGGGAAACCCTATGACTATAAAGAACATGACAAAGCCTTTAAATCTCAATCCTTATTGTGTCACATTTGATAAGAATTTATACATGTAATTACTCTGGAAAAGTAAGCAAGATATTCTGAGAAACATTTTACAAATGTAAAGAGAGTAGCAAAACTTTCCTTAGATCTCTCTCTCTCTCTCTCTCTCTCTCTCTCTCCTCTCTCCGAGGATATGGACACTAATTATTCACTTGTGGAAGCCAGAGGACAATGAGAATCTTCTTCAGTTGGAGCTTGCTGTTTCTGCTAGACCAGTTGGTGAGTGAGCCCCTGTGGTCCATCTGCTCCACTCAGCTCTGTAATTACAGACACATGCTACCTGCCTGGCTGATGTAGGTCCTGGTGTTACGGAGTTCTGACCCTTGGGAAAAGACCATAGACACAATCCAATTATAATTAAAGGGTTTATTGATTATCTGCTAGCAGGACAACAGTCTGTGTGCCAAATGAGATTGCCTTGAGAAAGTGGACAAGGAAAGGACTTTCTTTTTAAATAAAATTTTTGAGTTTTTTTTATTTATTTTGGTTTTTTGAGACAGGATTTCATTTTTAGCTCTGGCTGTCCTGGAACTCACTCTGTAGACCAGGCATTTTTCTTTATTTTTGTTTTATGTGTGTGAATGTTTTGCAAGCATGTATATATACCGTTTGTATGCAGTATCTATGAAGGCTAGAAGAGGGCATTGCTTTTTCTGTGACTGGAGTTTCAGATGGTATCTGCCTGATGTGGGTGTTGGGACTCGAACCAGAGTCCTCTGGAAGAG